ATATTTACACATGTGTGTGGGTCTGGCTGTTTTATGATAGCATTAAAAATAACTTTGTAACACACCTGATGTAATATTCTCAGATAATTTTTTAAGTAAGGTTTTCTAAAAAAAAATGACCATTTATTAATTCAAGGTTAATACTTAGCATATTATTAATGACAAGAATGTGAAATTACCATGAGACTTAACTGGATGGGTGACGTCTGATTACTGTTTTCTTCTTGGTAATTAATACACAGTTTGCAATTTGAATGTGTTTCTGTTGTTGGTTGATCTAGTAACACCTCTAGGGATACATTGCTCTTGTAAATAAATGGTTCGCTCCATTTGCACATGGAAAATGCCCAGATCACTTTAGTCAATTCAAGCAGCAACTTGGGTTACAGAATTCTGGAACTATTTTAGCAAACTGATTGTGTCAGATAAAGTAAATATTAATGGAGCTATGGAATTTAGTATTGGTTCTTCACTTGAAATCGCTTAAATGGGATTATAAAATATCAGCAATTTCCTTGTTTCCTTAAGCTAATTTTTTAGTCCAATTCTACTTAGTTCAGTAGGCCAATGATCCTCAAGCTTTCATGGATAAAAAAATTATCCAAGGAATTGTTTTTTACAAAGCAGATTTGTAAAACTTCATGTTCAAAGATTCTGGTTCTTCGGTTTGGGTGGGAGTTGAGCACCTCTGCTTTTTGATGGGGGATACAAAAGCATCGGAAGGGCCTTTCCAATGAGCTACATCCCCAGCCCCTTTGTTTTCATTGTGAGACAGTCTCATTGAGTTGCTTAATTGTTCAGGCTTTGCTTGAACTTGCAAGCCCCTGATTCAACCTCTAGAAGTGCTGAGATTACAGACACACAGCGCCACGCTCAGCTTGCACTGACATTTTTTTTAAACAGACTTCTCAAGTGGTGCCATGAACATTTTTCTGAAAAATCACTTTTGAATTTACTCTTCAGAATGAACTTTATGATCTAAAAATGCGTATCTTTAAGGGAGCTCTTGACTCTCATCTTGCTGGTAAAATAGAGTTATTGCTCAGTGCTAAATAAACACGGAGGTAAGATGTTTATTTTAATCCTTGTTTTCTAGAACAGAATATCTGAGATTGGGTAATTTATAAAGAAAACAGATTTATTTTGCTTAATAGTCCTGAGAGCTAAGAAGTCTCATAGCGTCGTGCCACGATCTGCATGGCTTCTGCTGAGGGCCTCACGCTGCTTCCTAGCACGGCCGAAGCAGGAGAGCTTACCTGTCAGGAAGAGGCCAAGGAAGTGGGGGAGGAGGGCTGATCACAGCAACCTGCTCTAGCAGTGCCTAATGGGGGCCCTCAGAGCAAGAATTCACTTGGACGGAGAGGGACAGCCACGAATGCTTCTTAATGACATAATCATCTCTGAGAGGCGCCACTCACCAACATTATCCCAGGAAATCACTTTGCAATATGAGTTTGAGAGGAAATAAACTGTGTTTAAGCCATAGCAATGTTACATAATGTACAAAACACAAATGCAAACCATATGACTTTACCTGATCGCTAAATAGTGTGACTGATGGCCCATGGTAGAAATCTGTTTTAAGTCACCATGTTTTGGTGTATCTTGCTGGCCTTGAGGCCAAAAGGGCCCATTTTAATAAAAAAAAAATGATGTTTTAAGAATCTAAGAAAAATATACTTTAACAATGATCATACTTATTAATAATAAATCATTGACTAGAACTCTCAGTGTTATGGTCTATCAACAAACCATGAACGTGCTTTGAGAAACTGCTTCATTCATGAGATAAACTGCCATAGCCCGAAGTCTAATTCATGATAATACGACATGGTTGTAAACTGCTGGCATTAAGTCTTAAATTAATAATTAATTGCAATTTTGTGCAATTAAATGTTTTTACAAGAATAAAAATATGTCTGGAAAACTTAAAGATAATTATTTGGATTGAGTATGCCCTCTAGGAGTACACTTTAGGATTGCAATGTAATTAATAACATCATTTAGCTTAATCGAATAGTCCAAATTCTGTTGCTAGTTTTCCAAAGGTGTGTTTGTAAACTGCTTCTACCTGGAATACTGTTAAGATATAAAAAAAAATCCAGATTTAAAAATTATTTGTCGTAACTTTATAAAATCAAATGAGCAACAATTGTCTGATTGAAAACAGCATGTATATCTAAGGCTCCAAAAAGAGAAAACTGAAGAATAATAAAAACTAGTGGCAACATAAAAGCTATAGGGATATATATATATATATATATATATATATATATATATATTCAAATGTATGTATATTTGATGTTTATTTATATTTTAAGATTAGTGCAATAAAATTCTCAACCATGGCCCATCTTTATTCTGTTCCCATGAAAGCAGGAAGGAAATATTTTCATTCCTCTGTTCACATAGTTTGTTCCAAAATGAAAATGTTGCTGTCGGGGGATGTACATTTCCTCAGCCTGCTTGTAGCTCTAGCTCTATTTCATTGGAAGCAGGATAGAAAATGAACAGGCATCTGGTCCCAGGTAGAAAATTGGAAGCTGGGATATGCGTAGCTCAAGGTGTTTGTTTCCCATCCATAAACATGTTTGGAAGCAAGAGAGACTCGATGGGAGTATGTGTTAGGAATTTCAGAGACAGAGGTAGCTGGAGAGCGTCATGTCTT